GAGAGAGAGAGAGAGAGAGAGAGAGAGAGAGAGAGAGAGAAAATAAGGATAATATCTGAATTCTTTAGAATTCAAAGAAAAACTATTTTTACTTGTACAAAAATATTCTTCTTGTGGGGAATTTAGCAACCCTTATTGAAAACAATAGCGAAGAGAAATCTAGAATTTATTTTTTTGAATTTATTTGTTATTATTAGAATTTAAGGCAAGAGTGAAGAAGGAAAAGAAGTCTTTTTAATCAAAAAGCTACAAGCATGTTCTTTATTTCCGGCTTTTTCATCAACTTTATTACTTCCAGCGATATATATCTCGAGAAAGTGTGTCACAGGACAAATAACGAGATTATGAAGATTTTTGACATTGAAGGAAAGCTGTATTTTTGTAATTCTTTCATTGAATTTTAAACAGAAAAGAAAGAAAGAAACGTTTAAAACAACGCGAAACGACAAATAACTCTTACTGTAATTATTCAACTATATTACACAGAGAATATTTCAAGAAATTATATTCATTTTGACGTAAACTACTACTAAATAATTTCTTTTTTGATTTGAAAATAAAAGGTGAAAAATATGGTAGCTTTCTTTACGTAGTTTGCCAAGCCACACAATAAATTTTGTCTTTAAAAAAAGAAAATTAGAATAAAGTACTGACAACGGTTTGACAAGTTATTTACGTTTGTCGACGTTATGATCAAAACAGATTTCGTTAGAGCTGACAAGAGCGAGTAATGATATATTTGTGGTCACAGATACCGCTTGTAGCATATATCTGAAGCTTGTATCTTCATTTAATAAAGTTTTTCCATCAATTATACCAAACTTTTTTATATATTAAACTCAAGATTTAATCATATCTTTTCTGGGAGCGGACTTGCCACGGATTAAATTAATCGCACTCACCTCACGAGAGTTTGTGAATGTAGTTCTTCGACGTAATCCAAAGTTGGGTGAACGCGATCCTTTGAGACTTACAGAGCGAAAATCACTAGCCGTAGCACTTTTACGTCGGAATAATCTCAAATCCGGCGAACCGGGGAAACGCATATTATTCATACCACTTAACGGTTGGGTCGTACATGTGTAGATTTGTTTACAAACAAAGAAAGCCTACGCTTTTGGGCTTTAGAAGAACTAGACCTACAGCCGTTAGAATACGAATGAGTATTATGGAATCAATGTCAATATGGAAGCACTATACGGCAATTGTGCTGTCATGTGCTTTAGTTCTAGTTGGCCAAGAGTGTCACAATATTGGGCCCAGCCAATGGAGAGTAGATTACTGAGTCTTTCAGCAGCTTGTGTCAGTTGAGGATGGAATTTTTTCTGTCTTTATTTGAATATTGAATAATCATTACACAACGGACAGTTAGCTAATTCAGGATTAACACCTGGGGTCTAAAGGATTTGTCGAGGCGGATTCTGCGGTTGTTGTAAACATAGAGTTGTTTGAATTTGACATATGGGTTTTAGTAGTGTTCAAGGTTATTATAGGTCATTTGCACAAACCTTTTTACACGCCTCAAGGAATGATTGCACTTCCAGGACGCTCAAATGGCCTCCGGGAGGATTATCTACGACGAAGAAAATTGAATATTAAAGATTTAATTGAAGGATACTTAAAAGGAATAAAGACCTGCAAGATGCCAAAACTGATTTAGATTTTTGACCACGCAAAAATTTACTTCAAAAATATAAACGTTAAAACGAAATAGAGTATTTATGGCTTCAGTTTTTTGAAAAAAATATTAGAAATAACATCTGAAGAAAACAGAGACTAAAATAAATCCACATACCATAAAATAAGAAAAATAATGTAAAAATCCAGTCAATAAGAGTAATTAACTATCAATTATTTCAGTAAATGATTTTCGCGCCAAAATGGTTTCTTTAGATACCATAACCACGCGTTGATCTGAAATGGCGGGAAATCGGAAATAGTGCAGTGTGATTAACAGCAGGGAGATGGGTTATAAAATTCATTTCCACTAAAGTGAAGTGCAATAAAAATAAATAACAAAGAAACAATAAATTGCCAAAAAAGTCGTAAAAAATCCTAATTATCAGCTATAAGTTCTTCATATGCACTAATACAAAAAATAATATTTATAAGATGCAGCTCGCTTACCTTGACCTTTCTTGATGAGAGAAAGAATGCTTTCTTTCCAGTCTGCCCTTTCGGCGTCGCTCTTACAAAGCAATGTGTAAGTCTGGAAATACCAAAGAAATGAGGTCAGTAGGTAGAATGTAAGAAACGAACTTAAGTCTGATACAGAAACTAGTGAATGCCCTGTTGTTTGTGGTGTTTTGGGTCGCGAAATTCAGTATCGAATCCACGAAATACAGGCGCCTTGGTAATAAAATTAATATTACGGAATAGGCCTTTGGCATGATGGCGTCAATTTAGGCCCCGTCCACACGTATCCGCAAAATTTTGTATCCGCAATTTTTTTTACGGATACGGGTTGCGTCCACACGTGTCCGCAAATTTTTGTGTCCGTATCCACGAAATTTACGAAAACGGATACGTGTGGACGGTGAAAACGATTCGATTACGATGCGTGTGGACGCAAACATTTTCGTATCCGCAAAAAATAATTTGCGGATACAAAAATTTCCACTTTTTTCTCATTCAAATTTGTATTTCCTAATGAGAATAGTTAGACAATTGGTGCTAATTAATTGAACAAAAGAAAGTGTACGATGCAAATGACCAATTTGGAGTCCTAGTTGTGGAAGACCCCTTTTAAGAACCTGGAATATGGAATCCGGAATTTGGAATGTACCGTCGTTACAAAACTTTTTAATCACGGAGGATGAAGGCTGCCTTCGTAGTCAACTATGGGGTTGATATTAGTTTATTCAGTTTTTTGTTTACCTTTGGCGTTTTCTTGTGGTACAAGTGAAAAGGTAGACTAGGTATGGCAAGGAGTAATGCTGCTTCCTACAGGACAAAAAACATACATCATTTCAGTACGTACAAAATAAAACATAACTAGATAACTAAATAAACAACAAAGACACTATCATCAGGACGACACCACCACCACTACCACCGTTACGACCAAAAACATCAGCAAAAACACCACCAAAAAATCATGAACGATTATCGTGGATTCTCACCTGTTGAGCTAGTTTCTTTTTTAATTTTTCGATTGCCTTATTTGTTGACTGCGCTCTTTTTCGCTAAAAAAAAAAAAACAAACAAAAACACACGCACATAAGACCTTATTTTAAATAAATCTTTAAAAGAAATTTTCATTTGTTAAACGAAGACAAAGTGCCCTTAGACTTAATTTTTTTGGGGAAAAGTATCAAACAAGAAGCCGTTAATGCTAAGAAATTCTAGACTGCGAGCAGTCTCACTTTTCCCTCGGCTCCAATCTCCGCGCGAGTCCACAGGAATCCTGAAACACTCGTCTTTACTGAGTCTAGAGGGAAAAGTGGGACTGCTCGCAGTCTAAAGAAAATCTGCTAAATTTCTGTACCTTTGTGGAGGGTGATTCATCAGGGCTTGGACCTTGGCCCTTCGTGCCTTCTTCTTTTCGGATCTCGGACTTTAGACTAACGATTCTACCCTTTAGTAACTCGATATCTGCTTCACTGGCAACTGGGACCATTTGAGTGGCTAGACAAATATTTAAAAAATCATTTATTGTTCAAGGTCCGTGGTAGTGCTTAAAGAGAGCACAGCGCGCACTTTCTATTTAGATATTCACTACGCAGCGTGCTTCTCCTAGGGCTTTTTTTTCGTATTCTGCCAATCCTCGCTTGCTTTATATTTTCACACAGCAAAAATGCAATTGTTTAAGCTATCCAAATTTCCGTAATTACAAAAGATTTTCTCATGAAAGCCATTTTTGAAGACATTTATAATAAATACATGTAACACTACAATCATCATCAACGAGCATTATCATCCATGACATCATTATCAGCCATATCATCATCCCTATCATCCTTATTCAGTATCATCATTAACAGCATCGTCAACATTATCGTTCTCATCATCATCATCATCATTATCGTTCTCATCATCATCATCATCATCATTATCGTTCTCATCATCATCATCATCATTATCGTTCTCATCATCATCATCATCATCATTATCGTTCTCATCATCAGTAGCAGAAGCAGCAGCAACATCATTGTCCTGGACATCACAATTCAGATACAACATCATCATCATCAATATATTATCATCATGATTATCCAAATCATCAGCAATATACTCATAAGACAATAACTAGTATCCTTGTCATCACCAGATTGATAGCACTGTACCTTCAGAATTCTCATGTGGATGGAAGAGTAAATCAGATAAAAGTATATGCCACTTGCACACATAGTGCTCTTGCCTAAAATGTAATAATAATAGGTGTCATTAGTTCCTGTACAGTTACATGAAACTTAAGAACGTTTTACATTTTGATTGGATGACGTGTCACCATAGAAACATGTTGGTGAAGCCAGAAAGTATTAGGTAAGAGTGCACAGACATCTTTCATAATTATCTTGGACGTAAGACTAACAGAAAAATACAAAAGGAATATATCTTTGTCTGAATAGAATTTTTGCCATATCTTTTACATTTGTATGTTGGCCTTGCATGTAAGACAATTTAGAGGGGATTTACGTTAGCCTGTCCGAGGTTGTTTTATGATAATTAAAATACAAATGTCAATATTCTGATTACGAACCTGGCAGTCATTTTTCTTTTTGTGGAAAACAACACATCATTGAAAAGAAAAATGTGCCTGAATTTTCTGATTCCATCTGGAAAAAGAGAAAGATAATAATATGATAATAAATACTTAAGGGAAGAACAAGAAGAGAGAGGTTAACAATTCATGATTCTGACTTAGAAAACATTTTGGACTTAAAAATTTGTTCCACAAAAAACTAAACGGTATTTGTTTTTTAAAAGAATACTACAAGGATAACAAGACAATTTTCTTTTATATATAGAAGACAATTTGGAACAATTTATAATCAATTATTTTCAGTAATCAGAATTGTAAATTTGGAGATATTCTAGCTCATTTCTCGAGCTTGTCAGACATTCCTACAGTAAGTACTAAGAGGAGTCACAATAAATTAGTGAAGGCAAAAATTTTTTTAAAAAGAAATCAGGACTGATAACAAATCTGTTTGATAACAAATGGTTTTAAGCAAAGGAAAATCGTATTCTACTAACCCGATAGTTCAACCAAAAATCCATCTTTTATCAACCTGTGGTCTCTTTTGACCCTCTGAACTGGCTGTAAGGAAGATTAAGAAAATGTATTACAGTCAACATATCATTCCTGATCCATGTATACTTTTTCTTGATTCATTCAACATTGATCTTATATATTTTTTCTCTGATTTCAACAAAAGTAGTATTCCGAGCCGTATTCCCTTATCTTGAAAGATTTGTAGCATACAGGGACTGCTGAGAGGGGTGGGCAGGGGGACTATAGGTCCTCCAAAATGTTTGCTATTATATTTTGAATTACTTGTTTTCCATTGAAAATATCAATAGCCAATGCAATAAATATGCTGTAAATGCCCCTTAAAACACTAGAAATCACAGTTCCAAGGGTCTCAATATCAATAGCCAATGCAATAAATATGTTGTAAGTGCACCTCAAAACACTAGAAATCACAGTTCCAAGGGTCTCCGTTTTTAGCACCTTTGGCAATCATTAGCCCCCCAATCAATTTTTTTCTCCACGGTCCCTGGCATAGCTAGCAAAACATGCAACTTACAGGTCCATCTTTTTGATCTCCACCAGTGATCTTTGCCAGGAATTCCTTGGTAATTACCTGGACTTCAAGAAGGATACCATGGTCTGGATGTTCATCTGGAGTTTGTTTCAAAAGATCCTACAGAAAGATGGGGCAAAACGTTTTAACAAACAACAGCTGATAGTTTTCTGAAGTTCTGTTAGACAAGGAAGTGAACTTAGAGTCCCCGTCCCCCAAATTTTCAAACATGTACTAGGGGGTTGAGGAGGGTATATACCATTGGTGAAGTATGAAAAAAGTCTAATATTCCTATCCCATAGTGAAGTTTGTGCTGACATCACCTATTGATATTAATGTGCAAACCAGAGATCTATTGGCTATCACGTGATGGTGCAAAGCCTCAGTCTATTGATCTGTGCCACTGCTATACTTGAAGTGGTTAACAGCATTTACAAGTTTTTATAACAAATGAGACGTTTTTTTTTTGCAAAACTAACATGACCCTTTATGAAGGAATCTTTTCATTACCACTGGATTCTTGATATCCACCCTCAACAAAGTTATATAACCCACTACGAAATTCAAATACCTCTTTTTGCATGAGTTATGGGCTCATTCATAATTTCAGGAATAATTCAAATATTACACAAATGTGAAAGATAATATGGCTTCAATATGACTGTACTCACACTTAATGCAGTAACATATCTCCCTATTCTGTCCACTGGTTTGCTAAACAGACTCTCTACGATTGTTACCTCTTGTGAGCATTTGAGTTTTATTTCCTGAACAATGATTAACATATAAAAAAGAATAATAATTTAAACATAACAACCAATTAAAATCCCTTTTTTTAGATTTTAGGGCTGCCGGCCATGCCTGGCCATGCTGTTTTAAAAATAAGATCAAAAGCAATGTAAAATCTTAAGGGAAAGATATAGACTGGCTTCCTAGGTAACACATATCCCAACTGCAATCATCTTCAGGATCATTAACTGGGAAAACATTCTGTTATCTACTTAGTAGCATATGATTGAGTATTTCTGTGATTGGAGCCTTTTCATTGATGATAAAGAAAAGACATTGTGTAGTTCCAGAAAATACCCATACCCACCCACTGAGGAAATTGAAAATTCTGGAGGGGAGGGGAGGGGAGGGGAATCAGAGAAAGAAAAAAATACAGAGTTTGTATGGAAGGAAACTGGAAGTTCCTTTTGGGGGTGTTTTTATAACCTGGGAGAGGGGGGGGGATCTTGCCTGTTTAGGGTAGGGATGTGCTCCTGAGCCCTCTGAACCCTGACCCTGTTCCAGAGTAAAATCGCTGAAATTCATACCCTGTTCCAGAGCAAGATCGCTTAAAATGATACCCTGTTCCAGTATTGCAAAAATAGATACCCTGTTCCAGAGAGGAGAGAGCGTGATTTCATATATCCTGTTCCAGAGCAAGCGCGATTTCATATACCCTGTTCCAGAGTAGAATCGCCAAAAACCATACGTCCCTGTTTGGCGGCATGTACCTCGTATAGCGTATATAGGGGAGTACCCCCCCCCCCCAGGTTTTATAAATTCCATCATGGATATTTTCTGGAACCACACATTTTTCTATATATGGACAGGCAGTTTTTGAGTTAGAAACGAAGAATATCAAACTCAGTGCTAGATATATACCTTGCTAAATATTTGATTGAACTGTTCATTCGCTTTACACTTGCGTATGGTGTCCATGACTGTCTTGTAGTTTTGAATGTATTCTCTGTATACATCAAACTGATAAACCTTGAAAAGAAAAAAAGGAATATATCATTAAATAAAAGGAAATAAAATAACCAATTTATTTGCATTACAGTGCAAAATGAGATGTTAAGGGATGGATCATTAGATAATTGATGGGGGGGGGGGGGGGTTGCAGGAATTTTGGTTGCATGATATTTATCTCTTTGGCTCAACCCTTGCACGTTATTTTTTTGCATACAGTTAGATATTTTTCTTCTAGCAAAAGAAGTTGCACAATATTTTTTTAAGGTTTAAGTGCTTGCTTGATATTTTTGGGGGGATTTACACAACCCCCCCATCAACTATCTAATGGCCGTCCCTAACCTTATTGAGAATATATCCTAAGATCTATTTGGAATTATGGAATATTGATTTTTGTGGACGGAGGAAAACCTGAGAAACCCGGAGAAAAACCCTCAAAGCAAGGGACAAAATTAACAATGGCCTCAACTCACATATGACACAGAGTCCAGGTAGTAGTGGTAAAAGCCACACCTCCTTTGACTGATTGTTTAATATGCTACACAACCCTGTGTTGGTAATGGTTCTCTATAATAATTTATCACATAGAATGATATCCATGACTCTAGCCCTCAGACAGCAAACACTTACCAGGCTTAAGAAAAGGTCTCCAATAATCTGTCTGATGTTCCAATTTGATACTCTAAGTTCAAGGTCACTATAGAACTTATCATGGATCTTAAACAGCTCTTCCACTTTGAAGAATATCTTTTCAAAGTCATTTGTTGAGAGAATAGGTGCAGATGTTTCTAGAGATGCTTTTAAGGGCTTCATATACTGAAATCAAAATGCAGTCTGGAATAAACAAACATTCACAATGTACGATTGCAGATTTAAAGAACACAAAGACCAAAATAAAAACTTCTCCAAAACTTGGCTGACCCCACAAAGGATTCTATCAACAAAGTCATTGAAATCTGATCTCATTATCAATGAAGACTGATCTACAGTCTGATGTTCAAATCTTATAGGACAATAAGAAAATCAATCAAACCTACAATTCTAGACAAAATGTATATCTTGTCTCATTGCCTTTTCCATGACAATGCACTTAGCACTTTTCAGTTGCTTCCTTCAAACCCCTCCCCCCCTTGTTATCTTTCTTTTTTATATAATATTTTTTAAACAAAACATGTTACAAAATAATTGTGAATGTACCTTGTGCAGTGTATTAAGGCATTCCAAATAGCTTTTCTCACTGTCTAATACTGCAGATGCCACCCACTTTCTGTTTTGTAATTTCTGAGCATCATCTCCTTTAAGTTCGTCAGTGCCCTGATAGACAATTAAATGTAATTGTAACAAACAGAAGCAATATGTCAAATGAATGAATGGATGGATGGATGGATGGATGGGTGGATGGATGGATGGATGGATGGATGGATGGATGGATGGATGTATGGATGGGTGGGTGGATGGATGCACGGATGGATGGATGGATGAATGGATGGGTGGGTGGGTGGATGGATGGATGGATGGATGGATGTATGGATGGGTAGGTGGATGAATGGATGGATGGATGGATGGATGGATGGATGGATGAATGAACAGATGGGTGACCTAATGAAATAGGAGTTCCAGAATAAGTGAATATGAGTGAGAGAGAGAAACTGCAGTAAAAATGAAAACTTACAAGCTTAGAATGATTAGGAGATGACAGAGGAGACGATGGAAAATCAATATTATCTTGATCTAAAATCACATTTGATCCCCTACTCTTCCTTAACTTTCTTCTCTCATCTTCCCCTGTGTCTAGAAGTGAGCGGAAATTAACTGCATTGTCTTTTATTGCAGATACATTGGTATGACTTTGAGAAAGTGCTTGGTTTTCCTGGTCACCTACAACGCCAAAATATCAATTATAAAATAGTTTATATTACTATCAATATCATCATCATCATCATTCACATTGACATCACTAAACCACCAACATCCCCTCACCACCATCTCAACAAAAAATATGTTGTTATCAATTGTTTGCCTGGGGGGAGTAAGTATAATTTCTGGAACTACCAGAGATCCCTATTATGAGGAAAAATAATGTTAAAATATTCTGAAACTACAAACTGACTTTTATGTGTGGTACAAAGTAAAGCAAACAGAATATTAAAAAAATAATGAATAGAAATTCATATCAAAAACTAAGAGAAATGTTGTGGTTTAGCCAATGAAAATATATTATTTACTGACTTTATTCATTCGACAAAATAAACAGAAAACATCTCTTAAATGCCTTGTATTGTAACAACGTTTTTATAAATGAAATAGGATTTGTGACAACCATCTTTCTATTCATGGTACTTCAATCTGAATTGGGTTTTCACTTGTAAGAAAACCACATTTCTAAATCTGCATAATATCAGAGATTGAAACAGGTGTGGAAACAAAACAAAAAAATAGAAGCAAACTTAAGCAGCAGTTTTTAGTGTTGAAGCCATATGATCAATATATACACCAGGAAATAAATTTAATGGAAAATACATCAATTTTCTAAATTTGGATTTTTTTCCTTTCCTCATTGATTTGAGGTAAGAGAAATTTAAAGGAAGTGGAAATCTATTTGGTTCATACAAAATCAGAGAAATCACACTGGTGAGATCTGTTAAAACCTGATCTTGTAAACCAATTCATAAATTTATTTATTTATATGTAATTTATAAGTGAATAAACATTGCTGATGGATTATCAGTGAAAAATGAATATATATCCTAATACAAGCTCATAAGCCCTAGAGATATTACCTGAGAATTGGTCTCAATACACAACGAGATGCAAAGACATTTGGCTCAATATAATATGTTTTAAAGTTGTACATAATATTATTTCAGTAGATGGTGATTATCATTTTTTAAATGAATTCTCACCAGGGTGTGTTGTTAGTACAGTATCTAATTAATTAATTTTATATCAAAACTGAAAAATCAGGCTTTTGAGGTATTTCTAACTAAAATTGTGTTATCTTTATTAGCTATTGCTTATTTGAATAAAGGCAATATTGTTGTAGATTTGGCTATCTATGATGGGGCTTTCTCAACCACTAATTCAAATTCCTTACTTTTTAGCATGTATATTTTTTTAGTATTGAATAAAATTAAGATCATATATCCCATTCACTTCCTAAATGAAAATTATTTTACTCATACCATCATAACCTTCTTCTTCTTCTTTCCTGAACACTTCATCTTCCTCTGAATATCCACTAATACTTGATCTGATTTCTTTGGGTGTACCCACTGTGTGAGCACGAACCATACCCTTCTTGCTATGCCTGCGTGGCGGCCTTACAGGGGGCATTCCACTCATGTCAGTATCATTGCTTGAGGTATCACCCAGCACCTTAGGGACTGTATCTACAGGCGACGGCTCGCTTGATTCTGCTGGGGTGTCCTCTTGATCGGAGGAGTCGGCAGAGTGGATTTCTGCCATTGCCATGTCAAGTGCCCATGGACTTAGACAAGAGTCTCCACTAAGTGCACTAGTTGTTGACATTACAGACTGCAACTGCCTTTTTCTAAAATTACTATTTGGCTTGCCTTGGTAGCCAAATGGCAAGTTARTACTACTTCCCCAAGTAGAATCCCCCTCTTCTTCACTGCTGTTTCCCATATTTCCCTCTAGGTAAGAGATCAAGTCGTCAACAATACTCGTTCCTTGATCAATCACATCGGGAGAATAATCGAGCGCTTCTTTCTCTTCTGTCGAATCAAAAAACGTCTCCTCCTCGGCGAGGGTTGGTCGATCTTCGTGATCGCTTATATCAAGATTACTATCCTCATTCTTCTTTATGCTTTCATCCGAATTGTCATTCTCACATTCCTGATCAGAGCTCGTGTTTTTGTTTTCCACGGAGTCACCTTCGCCTTTCGATTCTCGATTCTCGGTGACGTTCATCCCGATGTTTTCAGATGTATTTCCGTCTTCGGTTTTGTGGCTTTCGAAGGACTTAGTTTCGGAGGGGTTTGTCATTTCACTATCTGTATGAGGATTACAACTCCCGCGTAAACCCCAGCGATTTTCTCTCGAAGGATTCTCAACGTTCCATTTACATTTACGTTCCTTGGACAAAATTCCTGCCTTGAAAGGGCCACACACGGCATTTAGAGGTACACTTCCGATATCTTGTACGTCTTCTTTTAATTCCGAAGCTTCTAAGTCACTAGATTTCCCCTCCATTGACTCAAAATCCCTCGCAGCCATCAAGACTTGTTGGTTTGATTCATCCCCAAACTCGCCATCTTCATTGGACAAAATTTCACTCCTCCCTTCATAGTTTATGTCAACGTTCGGAAGGCTTTCTCTGTTCAAAAACACTTTATCATTTTGGTTATTTAATAATTCAACATTTGTACCAACAGATGTCTCTGGAGAGGAGTTGAAATGCGATTCGTTCAGATCAGCACTAGCCTGCAAATGGAAATCACTTCCGCCTCGCGCTGGCCCTGATTCGCTCTCATTTTCAAACCCTTCACCCGTTTTGTCAAGTTTTTCTTTTATTTTCGTGTCCATTGTAAACGCAAAAGAATCTCCGCGTACACGAAAATCCTTGTCTGTCACGGGTTCATTTTCTAAGCTCCTCTCCGCAGCTGCTCCATCTGCAGAACTGCACAGATCATTAACGTCGGTAACAAATCCCAATGAATCCGAAAAAATAACCCTAAGACTTCCACAGACATCTCCCTTGAAGTCATCGTAATCACTACTGTCTAAAACTTTGGATAAAAATCTTAAAAGAAGTCCTTCTTTCTTGAAAATGTCCAAGGCTCTATTCAAATTTTGTTTGCAAAGGTCAACTCGCTGCTGTAGGCTTTCTTGCGAGTCAAGGAGTTCTAGCAGCTCTGGCAAAGGCTCCTCTGGACAATTTTTCCTCCAAAATATTTGGAAAGCAGCCTTGTTCTCCATTGGAGTCCTGGCCTGCAAAAGGAGGTTGGAAACATAAAATTTACGTCATTTTAAAAACTCAGTCTTGCTGTCCTGCTGCTGGAAGGTAGGTTCGTAAAATACATGTCTGAACTTTGTATGTTTTGCGGATGTTACCGAGACGATTCATTTAATTTTAACCAATCACATTTTATTAACCCAATCCGAATCTATTCGCTCTTCATTCGCAGAGTCTTTGCAGCAAAGAAAATTGCTCGGGAAGGCTTCGGAAAGAGTTTGAAAACTTTTCTCACATAATCTCACACGAAAAATTTAACTTAGAGCACGGTATATGAATTTTAAAAAAACTTACCTTACGATAAACACCGCCTTTTCTTTCAAATTGTCGCATTTTGATGTTTATGTTTATAATTTTACAATAATTTAATTTGCTGTATAAAATGACCTTAGGTAAGACTTAGACGAGATGGTGGTCAAATAGTCGCAAAAGCCGAAAAGCTTCTGGTTTATGCATAGTGTTCAAGGTAATAGCTGGTAATGGCTCGAACGAGTTCCTTGAAGCAAGGAAACAACATTCCACATGATTGAGAGTGTCAACGTAAAAGCACCTGTGACGTAAACCGGGTTAATTAAACTGTAAGAGTACGTGCATGTAAAGCCCGCTCGCTTGCTTGACAACACTTGACTTTAAAAACGTGTGGCCATTGTACCAGCACCAAACGTTAAAAAATCCTAACAAGAGAAAAATATGTGTGTGAATAATATCGGTGGAAGACCGGGGACTCCTGTGCGTGATGTTAGTACGCAAGCTATGATATCCGGTCGCACTAATTTGAGGGCGTGAGTATTAAACACGTGTTTCATCATAAGTCATTGCGTCATCTACGAGTATATAGAGCTACGCGTCATAGTCCGGCATTAAAACGGGTTATGAGATTAAATCCAATGCGTCTTTCGCATTAAAAAAATATCATTGCTTTTTTTCCATTTGATATTGTCTGCTGTTCTTGATCAGGAGTTACGAGTGGGATTGTTGAAGTACGACCACTCTAGTTACGGTTGGATTGCGGTGAAAGTTGAATTTGACTGATCTGACATTTAATCACCGGTTTCCTTTGGCTATGTTCTACAGGTAGCCCAAACTGGACTTTTGTGTTTAGATACTGGTAGTTTTGTGCTTCGATGGAATTGGGTAATTTTGAAATTGTCTTAATAAAAGCCCGTAAAACTCACAATATCTTTGTTTTCTTCTTGTGCTGCATTTAATTTTATTATTGAGACCCTGCATTCAGTTTTAACTTTTTCTCGAGTTTGGGCTACCTGTGTTAAGGTTTGAACAAATTCAAAATGGCGGACCACGAAGAAAGAAGGCAAGCTCCTGTTCCAGGACCGATAGGGAATTTACGCATGAGTACTATTATCCCAACTATCGAAGAAGCAAGAAGACAAAGGGCTCCAATAGTACCATCCCTAGGTTTGCCTCAAGCTTCTCGCACGCCACAGGAATTAATGGTTGAAAGAGTGTTTGAAAACTGTGCCTTCAAATCTGCACTTGCTGGAGTGGCTGGTAAGTTTGTATGTTGGCGCGTCTCGACGCGAAACCATACGTTAGGTGAAGTATTTTTGTCGTTAAATGATGGGCATTTTAAATGAAAATGTCTGGCCAAATAGCTCTTGATGGGTCACATTTACTGGTCACGTGTTAATCAGTTAATACTTGTAGTCCTAGCAAATCAAATTTTGTTTTATTGTAGGATATGGCCTTGGTATAGTATTTGGCCTTTTCACAGCTGGCATGGACTCGTCCATGCCCAACCCTATGACGGGGGTAGCTGACCAATCAGCTAAAGCTATACTCAAGGATATGAGAGCTAGAGCTTCATCATATGGAAAGAATTTTGCAGTTGTTGGATTGATGTTTTCTGGAACAGAATGTTTAGTTGAAAGTGTGAGTATATAAATGCATGGTTTATAGGTTATAAACCAGTCCTGTCCCTAGGACCTTGAAAGAGGAGGTTTGTTTTTCTACCAATCTTAGTTATGCCGAGTGTATACATGCATGAAACCGTTGTCAAGCAGTTTCGATTTTAACTTTGCCTAAAATTTATTTAGCCACCACTGAGAAGTGTAGTAATCATTGTAAAAGATATGATTTTCCCCCCCAAATTATAGTATAGAGGTAAATCAGACTGGAAGAATGGCACACTTTCTGGAGGAATCACAGGAGGACTGATTGGGCTTAGAGGTAAGTAGATTTACACAGATCTATAAATGCTTTGACCTTAACTTGTTTTTATCAATGTTCATGATAGTCCCAGAGGTTATTAATTTTATTCTCACACTGGTGTACTCTGGTTTGCCAGAATGCTGCCTCCAGCATTTGCCTAAACCTATCCAAAATGAACATTTTAGAACCTCTGGAACTATTTACCAAGATAAATGATACCAGTTCAATAATATGTGCTATATAATTATGATAAATAAAGTTGGTTAATGGACTACTTCTACAATATGGTGGCCATCTTGGCTCACACTGCATTACGGGGCATCCAGGGGGGGAAATAAAGTTTTATTACAGTAATGACGTCAATTGATATTTTTAAGTATCAATTGAAAAAAAAAACAGCTCACCACAAGAGAATACATCCAAAGATTAAGATGGTTCATCGATCACCTTTACCCATAAAAGAAAGACAAACACACAAAACTGGTTTTTTTTCTTATCTGTTTTGTTTTGCCCCCCTGGCAAGATGGCCCCCTATCATCGAAGTAGTCCATTGTTTTGAAGTTTCCGCACATAGCAAAACTACGATTTTATCATGTATGACAACTCCAGCCTTGGCTTGGAACTATTATTCTTGGTCACTGAATGGAACTGTAAAAAGGAGTATTATCATTTTGATCATTTGTGTAGAACCTGTTTACCTTTAACCATACCTTTCCCTTGGTTCATAAATTAGAGGCTTAGAACTTAACACTTGGAATCTTTCTTTCAGCTGGAGGCAAAGCAGCTCTTTTTGGTGCTGCAGGATTCGCAGCATTTTCAACACTTATTGATTACTTTTTAAGATGATAGTAAAGTAAACATAATTTTAATGTTTTACCCAATTCAAATTCTATTGGATCTGTGTTTCATTGACATGTAAATATAATTGACAAAGAAAAGTATTCCCAGTAGATTTGAATTGGGTAAAACATTTTGTTAGCCAAATTTGTCTATAGAGCTTTCAAGTGCGAYGTTACTCATATAAAAAAACGATTTCTGGGTCCAAAACAAAAATCAGTTCTATGATAAAGAAATAGGAAATGTGCACACGTGCTATGTGCAATTATAAAGCATGTGGGGCTGGCAGAACACGAGAGAAGTGTTAGGAGAAGCAACGCCTAGCGGAGTGCTTCTGGACACTTCTTGAGTGTTCTGCCAATCCCCAAGTGCTTTATAACTCCACACAGCACAGCAGTTTTTTATTTCTTTTACAAAATACAAATTATAATTACCATTATTTTAGATAGAAATTGTGCGACTGAAATTGCGCGCGCTTGCTGTGTGCTCATAAAGCATGTGCTTCCAACCAATCAGAATGAGAGATTAATAACAGTAAATGTTATTTTATGAAGATTTTTCTTTTTTGTGACTTGTTTAAAGTTTTAATTGTCTTTGATGGAGGTTGAATCATTGGAAACATACTTTGCCTGACTTTAGTGTTTCTTCTGAGCAGTTGGACCCAAAAATATGTCACAACTTAAAAGCTCTATTGAATAAGGGTACTTAGAGCAAGATCCCTTGAAAAAATGACAAGAAATAAAAGCCATATGTAAATATCATTTCACAAATTTAACTTCAATAAAATATTTAAACACAAAACTTTCTAAATTATGTTTCTGGGAGTGTGTTGTTGATGATTTACATTGTAACATAACATTACAAAATTAAATATCAATTAAAATATAATAAAATGAAAGCTGTGCAACAAAGCCTACATTTTTTTAAATTATAAGTTTTAACATTACTTAAGAGAACTTTCAAAATAAGACTGTTTAAAATTTCATACTAAAATTCCAACAGAGTTTTAAAAATTTCCAAAGCATAAACATGTAAATTTAATGTTGTTCCCTTAGACTGCTTATCTTAGACTCATCCAGTTGGGTTTTTGCCTTGTCTTGTACGCATGGGGGGTGGAAGTGAGTTTGAAACGGTACTCAGGGAGAGGCAAATAACAGTGACAGCATAGTTCCTTTGGAAACAAATCCCTTTTAACTTGTTTTTGCCATAGAAACATGACTCCATCGCTAACAGATTCCATCGATCATAAAATTGTCAAAGAAAACAGTGTGATAAATAGGAACAATAAATAAAGAATAATTCTGGTTAGTGGTATGTAGTATAGAGGGTTAGAAATCATTAGAACAAGACATGGGACAATGTTGGTCCACCTTCATTTTTCGAACATTGCTTGGATTTCGGTTCTCATCCTTTGTTCTGTCAGTTTGTTTGGGGAGTGTAGTTGATCCAAATTAAAAATTATGAAAATGCAGAGTGAACCTGTATTCAAATGGAGAGACTTAAATCCAAGGTTCGGAAAAAAACGACAACATGAAAAATTATATTTTAAGTTCTTAAAACTAGCTCTTCCCCTTTTGCTTGTACTCTGTATACTTCTTTGATGATCCTCTTACCATATCCGCTGGATATTTCTGCTCATTCAAAGATATTTTGGCTAGTACTTCTTTTGGAAGATCAACATGGCATTTCTCAGCAAGCCTAACTAGATATATCAGCACATCACTTAGTTCTTGTCCTAGATGTTTCTTTTCCTGTCCTGACCAGTCTGTAGGATAATATGACATGGAATTACATGTCAGTTAGCTTTTGGTCACTCCTCAGGTATTCCCTAGCTTTCCTTCCATACCATTGAATGGGAAATTTTATATACTTGAAGTCAGAAACGTATGTTAGCATGCAGCCATCAAAATTCAGACAATTTCAAGATTAACAAACTCGTTATGGATTATCAAAGACCTCTTTTAGTCTCATGAAGCTAAGGACTATCAGACATGTTAGTTATATACTTTATAACACTGTACTAGAATTCTCCAATTATTTATGCTTCATACACACTGATGCAAATCAATGCAGCTTATACTCATTATTTTCTTCTGGCACTAAAAGTTTGACAGAAAATTCTTACCAGGTAATCCTTCATCAACTTCATTTTTCCATTGACTGCAAAAAAAAAAAAAGAATTGGAGCAAGCCAACACAACACTTGTTATGTTCATGTGACATCTACATTCCACCTTTTCTGGTATTTTAACTTTTGTCTTTCAGATGCACTCTAATACTGGTTGGTAGTATAATTTTGGTAAAAGAAAATAAAAACTTACAACAGTTCTGCAAGCTCACCAACTTCACCAACCTAAAATAAAATACCAAGACCTGCTTTTTAATATCATTTATCAATCAGTAGCCTGTGTAAGCTCTTTTCATGTAGCAAAATATTAATCCCAGGAAAAATCCCATGACCTGAATTTAAAATTTCCTAGCACAATCTATGCATGCTGTGTTTTCAACTGGGGAGTTAGAGAAAACAGTGCTGGTCCAAAATCATTAGTTACACCAGATGCATTTCCTTAACAACCATTTAAGACCCCTCCCTCCTCTACTTTTGCTTTTCTTGTTTGTTATTACTTTGCTTGTAGCAAGTAGGGTATTCCATCTCTTCTATACTACCTACCATAAAATATTTCAGTAATTATTAGTTAACTCATCTTACCACTCTTTTCACTGCTACACGCTGATCGAGACAACAGTTGCAACAGGGAAATAGGGCAATACACTGCCGCCAATCAGAAAATATTAAGGTACCAATCAATTTATTTGATTGATGGAAGCGTATTGCCCAATTTCCCTGTCGCGACTGTTGTCTCAATCAATGCGTAGCAATGAAAAGTGTGGTACGCAATGTTCATACCATGGCTAATAGTAAATTTCTAGGCTTGTGGAATTTATCCCAGTCTCTTTCCTTTGCAAAGTTGGCTTGCAATTGACGGCTGCAATCAATTCAATGACAATACATATTTATCAAAACTTGGCACATTTGAAATCCTTTTGACTGACGTTGTGGCACCCATTTATCATTTAATTCAATGGTATATAAAATTTATATTAATAAAATATATAATGAATTTTGAGGGGACGCTTCCCAAACATAGTGGACAAAGAGTCAGCTTATCCACCCCTCCCCTGATACTTCTGCCATTGAAAACATGAGGGAGGTGAAGCTGTTTTTCACGTGTCCATTCCAAATACTTTCTGAAATATTAAAGTAGTCGTGGTCTGGCCTTAATATTCATCATTCAAACCAATGTTTTTCTCAGTATCCCCCAGTCCTAGAGAATTTTTGTGATTTCAATGGTAAAGGAATGATACAGGTAGATATATCTTGCCACATTTCAGCGTTTGAAAAATATCAACTCTTACATTTTCTCGAGCGAGAGCTCGTCCGTGAAGCGAAATTCTTCTCTCGTATTTTCTGCCATAAGTTTAGAGTGTGTATCACAACTGCTAACCAGCCTATAGAGCCAAGAGTTTTGAAATAAGACACGAAACTAACAGTTTTAAAATGACCTATAGTATTTATATGGGCTCCTTGTCATTTGAAATCGATTCCAATTAAACTTGGCGGGAAGATGACGTAATAGTTTGACGCCGAGGCTAGATATCCCAGTAAGCATTGGGAGTAATGCGCATGCGCAGTTTGTTTTATTGCGCCATCTTGGATTTTTTTTGCCGGTTGGAGTAAATTGGTCTCATTTTTTTGTACGATTATATAGATAAATCATCATGGGACTCGCCAGACAAGCTTATAATGCGTTATTTAGAAGAAGTTCTACCTTTCTCTTGACTATTGTGGTCGGAGCTGTTGTTTTTGAAAGAGTATTTGATGAAGGATTGGATCGAGTTTGGGAAAGAATGAACCAAGGGGTAAGCACATAACTGCATGTTTTAATAATATATTAATATTATAATGCATATTGTTATAAAAAAGGATTAATAAATATGATATAGATATGTCTGGAAGGTACGTATGTACCATTCACAGGTATCTGGTGTATAATTATCAGTGTTATGTATGCATTTAAACTAGTATCATATTAATCAACCCATCCTTAGTGTCTACACCATACTAACAATTCAACCTGTAATGATTGTAAAGCATGTATAATCAAGTACCAGGGACCACCCTAAAAAGTGGGGGGCTTAGATTGGGAAATATAAGAGACTAGTATGGGAAAAGGTAAAGTGGGGGGGGGGGGGGTGCTACAGCTCCCCCAGTTCCCCTGTCTCTGTGGTCCCTGATAATGCACTTATCATTCTTTCCCATGGGTTGACCCCCAGANGGTCCCTGATAATGCACTTATCATTCTTTCCCATGGGTTGACCCCCAGAACACCCCTGCAGAACCCCTGGGAACATGTGGCAATTGGTGTAGTCCTGGTATTCGTTTTGGCCCCTTTGGGTTTGGGGCTTTGTTTAGTTTTGGAAATACACTAGATCCCAGGGATATACCCAGGGGATTTGCTTGACTTTGGTCAGCCGGATATTGCTTTCAAAATCCTGTATGAAGTTTTCCCCCTGCCATTTGATATCATATTTTGTATGTCAAGCTTGGTTTGCAGTTGGTATATTGTAGTAGGTACCATGTTGGTACCATGATTGTTAATGTTGCGTAAAAATTGGTGCAAGATGTGTGTAAATCATGGACACATTTGCATGTTATTTCTGCAAATAAATGGTATCCTGTTCTGGCTTTTTATCCCCTGGGGGAGGGGAATTTGTCATGCATTTTATGCTCTTTATCCAGGGTCTTTGAAAGTTTTTTGTCTGCCCATAAAAACAAATCCCAAGGATATCAAGGATCCCCAAGGGGTGGCCAAAATATAATAAGCGCGTAACGTTTTTGATCATATAAGAAGGTGCTAATATCAAATTGTAAATAATTAAATATTTTATAATTATGTTTATATGTAGAAACTATGGAAGCATGTCAAGCCAAAGTATATCCAAGAAGGAGGAGATGACTTATGAAGACAATAACTATCCCAGGACTTTAATATTAATAAGGAGAAAACCAGATAACACAGGTTTACCATTTCTTTTGACCAGTTTCTTCAACTTCAGGATTCCTGGCTGAGCAACTAGATGATTTTACTCAATAATTGTACATTTTTCAGCTGACAAGCTTTGTGTCAGTATCCATGGATGACATCTTGTTTCTAGGATTTTACTTCATATGAAAGAATGCAAGAATAACAAATTTAATTAACTTGTTCAGAGAGAATGTTGACTGCAGGTCTGGAAATCTCTTGGTTTTGTACAGTTATTAAACATCGCATTAAGGAGACATGGTGTTAGTATTTTTTTGTCTAAAGTAAAATTTATTTGTTTATGGCCTCAACTCTTACAAGTACACCAACTGTCATTGATAATGTTGCTTTAATAAGTCTTGTTTTTACATGTGACTACAGTACAGTTCAGCTTGGGTACTCCTCTTATACCCTCTAAAAGATTCCAAAAAAAACAACTAGGGCTCAAAATAACAGCGGGAAAAAATTTACACTGGCCTTAGGCAGGTCTACTTGACTGGTGACACTGGTTGGTCCACTGTGACCTGACATCATGTCCAGGCTTTATGTTTACCACTGTCACCACCACCACACGTGCACACACACATTAGAGTTCTTAGTTCTCTATGGTATTGAGTGTCTTCACGTGACGTCACAGCAGCCATGTGGGTGAACCAAAAACAATACATTTTCTATCCTCGGGGAATTGAGCTCTATTTTTATACAAAATCTATGAAGGAAATTTCTATCGTTTGGTACACCATATGGCTGCTTTATCACATGAGTGCTCTAGGATTTTCTCTCACTCTCTCTCACTAATGGTGTGCACCCAATAACTTCATCCTACTTCAATTCCCAACCTTTTAATTAGGGACTGCAGAATGTGTGGGCATTGTAAAAACCCCAATACTTTTAAGATTGCCATCACTTGTGTGTAGTTTCTTCCCAAATCATACGTATTCTGCATTGTATCTGTTAAGTTATTGAGATCGTCAGGGGCTCAAATGTTAAATGTAAAACTCCCATGTATCGATCAATAATGTTTTAAAGTTTACAACATAATTTACACACTAGACAGACTCACAGATCCCAGACAATACGATTTTAGGCAAATAATTTCAAAATGCACAATCTTCAGTATGTTGCAATGCATTTTAACCAAAAATTTTCAAGAAACGTAAAAAATTTTTATCTCAGAACCATTAGAATCTACCAATCATTTTCAAAAAAAAAGTGGCAAAAATTTGCTACAATATATCTTGTTTATCTTTCATTTGTTTATCTTTCATTTTGGAACCAGAATCAATTATATTTAATAAAGCACAACACGTTTAGTAGCAGTTTTTCATTTTAATGATTTATGGCAGTTGCTGTCACGTGTAATCATAATTGGCTTCAATTTTTTCTTTCATTTTTTTTATTGTTTTTAGAAATTCAAGTACCCATTATTTCTTTTCAAATTATCTTCATTACTGTTGTCTATGATTTATTCATACTTTTTACAAATTAATATAGTTTTAAGATTTTTTTTAATTTTGATTTTCAAGTAGTGAGTGTAAATCAGCCTTATACATAGACAATTGAAATCAGCTGCATGAAAATGTCTAAATGATTAAAATACATTAGATAAATACACTAAAGATTTAGCAGTTGAATTTTCTCCTTATTCTTATTCGATTTGAAATCATATGGAAATGTTGATTTTTGCAAAGGTTGGAAAACTGGAGATCAACAGAGAAAACCCTTGAAGTGGCTAACATAATCAACATGCAGCTAACAGTAAATCTTGCTTACATGTACTTAGTCTTTTGCTTGTAAAGTTTGATGGGAATCAGAACAGATGGCACTATATCATTAACCAGGTTCCAAGAACATCCTGCCATGTGTAGCTGATTTGAGTTTTGTTAAATTGAGGCTCATATTCAGACGTCATGCACTCAATTTTTCTTCAGCCAATTACAAAGCTTCATCCTTTGATATCCAACTCCTCAAAATCCAAGCTAAGCTTTTTGAAAAAAATTAATTATGATAAAGCAACTATTTTTTCACAGTCTTTGCTTTCTTAATTATTTCATTTTGAGTTTTCAGTCCCTTTTTCATTTAAAACTTATCTCTCAATTCTTTAACTACACCTTCATAATGTCCAGTCATTGTATTGGTGTATTATAAAAAAATCCATCCCAAAGGCATATAGCAACTGCCACCCCTTTCCAAAAGACATTTCACTAAACCTGTGAATATGGCCAGAAACTCTAAAGATGAAACATGTATATGTGTTTCGTAGCAGAATTAAAATGGTAGATTGCACTTGTTATGGATCAATCTTATTCCCTACTTGTAGAGTCTCCCTTGTTGGCGATTCTTGGCAGGAGAAAATGGGAGGCTATGCCCTGGAGTGTTTCATTTGACATGCCATTCTTTAAGTGTTATTCCTGTTCTTGATTATATTTTCTTGATCTATATGAACCATTTCAATTATTTTTTACACCATAATTTGTTTCCCAATGTATTCCAGACAGTTTGTCAGAAGACTTCTGCTCATATGTTTTCTTATTTATTCCAGGTGTCAATTTATTGAGTATAATACCTTTCTTTAACAATAACATCTGAGAAAATCATCGTTTTTACAATAGTAATGATATATTTTGTCCTGTTTTAAGACGAGGAAAAACGCCCAATATTTGAAAAATATATGAAAAGACTCACAGAATATTAGAATTTGCTGTGACGTGAACAGAGAGGAGCGAGACTAGTACCAGTCCAGTCACTACTTGTGTCACAGAGGTAGACCTCATTCGGTTTTAGCAACCGGGAATGCGAAAACGTGTCTCTAGATTTCCGTGTCTTCACAGCACTTGATATGGGTGCTGGTGGCTTAAACGGAGAGCTGAGAGACAACAGAGAGTACATTGAGTCGATCCTGAACTATCATTATAACACAAGTAACCAAAGCGGAGCGAATAGAGCGAGCGGATCGTTTCGACCACAACAACAGCCACCATTTACTTCACCAAATACCCGTCCGTTCCCCTCAACGACTTCAAATCTATCGAATAGTTATTCCTATAACATTCCGAGTGCCGAAATGGTTTGTTATTCTTGTAATGTGAGTTTTACACTACTTCGACGTAAGGTAAGCACAAACAAAAAGCTTACAAAATCATTTCTTGCAAAATCATCTCGCCTCGACTTCTGCATGTTTAGTAGTCTCGCTTATCGAATGTCGGAAATCGAATAATTTATAACTTAATTTTTAATCCCCTGAATACTTGTTTTTAAGACTTAATCCTTTTTCTCTTATTCATGACTTATTCAATAATGGAATTATAAAATGATGGAGTATTTAGGATTCGTAGGAAAAGAGTTGTTTCGTGATATGAGGACGGGTCGAATGTTAATCAAACTGCGTATGAAGTTTACTGAAGTTATCAGAAGCCGCAGAGCCACAAAATTATACTCGTTAAATTGATATTTCTTCCAAATATCTGTGGTTTTACTAGTATTATTTGTGTATATTTTTTGTTGATTAATAATGTCGATGGAGGAAAATAAAAACAATTGCTTTCGTACATTAAAATGCTGTCAATTTGTCGACTCCTTTTCCGGTACCAAACAGTTTACGTAAAAAAAAATCGAAAGAAACTACAAAAGACCCCAAATTGATATACAATAGAACGGACCTAACGAATAATACATTAGGTTTGTGACGGAGTCGATCCAAGGTACATATGTTTATTTGTTTATATGTTTATAAGTTTAAATTTTTGCTTTTTCAAGATGGCAGCCATGTCAAATTATGCGAGGACATTGAATAAGGTCAATTTCCCGAGATAAGCCCTCCCAGCACCCTGGGGCTTAACATTGACGGGACATAAAGTTCCAGTTAGGATGTGCAATTATCACTGCAACTTGTCTCGCAATGCTTGAAAATGTAACATTGCAAGTTGCAGAGGTGATTGAGGTGCTACACTGCAACATGTTCTAAGCAACTTGCAACATTTTTGGCTCTTCTGAAAGAAATGAGAAATGTGTGCATGTGTTTTTGAAAAATATACTTAAGATTGCTAGAAAAGTTGTTGGAGCGGTGATACACTGTGCAATAGCATTGCCAGTTGCTGCAATCTGTTATGAAAAGTAGCACTGAGTTCTACTTCTGCAACGCTGCTACTTGCAACAACGAAAATTGCAAGATAATCCCTGTTACTCTGTGCATGTAAAACAAAATTGTTGTGAGCATTTATTTTCACCTAATTAATTTCAGTTTATTATTGTTATCTATAACCAATGTTTTGATAAAGTGATTTTTCTCAGACCTACATTTCTATTAGCGTAGGAAATCGCACGATCTCGAGTACAATTTGGAAATTAATAGATATGAGTAATGTTTAGGAGTGTCTATTAATTCCAAATTGTACGAGAAGATCGTGCGATTTTTTACTTATAGTTCACACGACAAAGTTTCAGTAAAAAATGCGAAGCAACGCCGTTCATCTTTGTCTATTTGGCGGACGATTTTCAGTCCATCGCGCAACTGAAATGCATAAAAAAGATTAGTTCTTATTAGTTTTTACGGCTTTTTTTTGCCACTGTTGACATTGTTTTGGCCATGTTTCCATAGCGACTTAATTCGGTACTCCTACGAAGTACAATTAACGCTATAATTGTACTCCTGTCAACCAATCAGAGTCAAGTAATTTTGTTGAGTGGACTATAAGTGTATAGTCAAATAGACACACAAGAAAATGACAGAAATAAGATATACTATTCTATTCCCAGCCCTAGCTCCTCCCCAATAAAAAATGTACCTTCACTAAATAGTGTTATATCTTTTTTGTCTTCAACAGCAAACCTGTAATAACTGTAAAAGAGCTTTCTGCAAAGAGTGCTTCAAAGAAGGATTAAGTGCAACCGATCAATCCTGCCCAAACTGTCTCACATGTCGATCCTTGAATGCTCCTCAATCACACAAGGAATTTCTTGTCAAAATCAAAGTTAAAGATTTACAAGAATATCTTCGAAAGAAAAATATATCAACACATCAATGCAAAGAAAAGAGAGAACTAATAGAGCTGGTACTCAATTCCTCTCCTGCTGGTACACAAAATGTGTCTTTTCCACGAAATACGCAGCGGCAGAGTTACTCTTATAGTAGTAATGGCTCTAATACTCGAAACAGGGCACCAAGTTCTGATGGCGAGGTAGCACCACCAAATACAAAGAAGGTAATTGAGCAGCAACCCTTTAAATGCACACCCTTTCACTTTTCCTTATCCCTAACCCCTAACTTTCCCAGGCTCTCTAGGGAAGAGGGGGGGGGGGGARRAAKTKGGGGSYYYCCTTTTYCYYYTYYYCTCCCCCCCCCCCCCCCCCCCCACTAGAGAGCCTGATAATCAGGTTACCTTTTCCCCCAACCCACCAAACTCAGTCCCAAAAACCTGCCTGTACATTTCCAGTCACTAAATTAAGATCTCTGAACTCATATAAGATCTAAAGACCCCCTTCCACTTTTCAAGGTTCCCTGCAGCCCTTGTAATATGTGCTCAAAGATATTTCTCCAATTATTTTTTAGGCCCCTCCAAAAACAATAGATGATATTACGAGCATCGATCAAGTCAGTAGTCTTTCCATCAGAGAGATAAAACAAATCCTAACAGTTAATTGTGTAGACTTCAAAGGTTGTTGCGAGAAGGAGGAACTTCTACAAAAAGTTAGAATGTTATGGAAATCAAGAAATGACTCAAAGAAGAGTAAGTTTTGTAAGGCAGCTACCTTTTTTATGTGCATTTTATTTCTATTTATAACATTAAGTGTGTGTTGATTAGTTGGCTACTGTCGTATTCATATCAGAAGAAAGATACTCTCACGTAAAATCCTTCAAAAATATTTTATGAAAGCAATATAAAACAGCTGCATATGTCTGTGTTGTGATATAAACATTCTGGGGACTGAAGGGCACTCAAAAAAAGAAAAAAAAAAGAAACACTTCTTGTTCCTAAGCTTGCATCTCTTGTTCTCTAAAACAGCTCCCAGCGTGTATATATATCAATGCAATAAAAGTACTTTGCCTTGCCTGCCTGCAAGGTGTTTTAGTATAATACCGGTATAAACCTTGCAGGAGTCTTCTGGACAACACCCTGTCAACAACTTTAATAATGACGTCACCTTTTGGGATGCCAACCAAAGAGGTTTCTTATGACAAGTTTAGAAAAGACAAACTTTTTAAGGAAACTAGCCTGTGGTATAGATTGAGGAGATGCCTTGCATTTGTTAGACATGAAAACTTACTTTAGCAGAACTGAAAGCAATATTGTAAGATGGGTAAAGAGGCATCCTCTGGAACTCAATGGTAAAATTCTTATGGTCGTTCCTTAAAATGAAGGACAGAATTTTACCCATGGGTTCCATAGGTTGGGGTAAAGTGACTAAATCTGTTTCATTTTCTCTCTCCCATAGTTGGTGATAATGATGAAGACTCTGAAGACATTTGTAAAGTGTGCATGGACAGAGCAATAGATTGTGTACTGTTAGAATGTGGGCACATGGTAACTTGTTTACAGTGTAGTAAACAGGTAGCAGAATGCCCTATTTGTAGACAAAACGTATCTAGGATTGTCAAGGTTTTCAAAGCTTGAATAATTAATATCCCTGTGTTAATGATGTTACAAGGTTATTGCCGAGTTTCATATCATGGGAGACCTGGATCAAAACTGGACAATCGCAACAACCATGCCATCAATCTCTCCATTTCCTAATGATTTTCTGTTCATTTAGTCAAAATCACATCCAAAATCTAGCTGCATTTACTGGTATCAAGCTCAATGGTGTTGTACAACTGCATATATAAAATAATTCATATTTCTCAGCCTAGTCAACAGTTGTCTGGGCCACACAGTCCTCCCACTCGTTATGAAACCCAGCAATGTGAGCAGGTGTTGTTTACTCTTTCATTTTTGTTCCAGTTTTATGAACAAATTACAATATATAGTAAAAACAAAGATATATTTCTCAACATATCAATCAACACTTACACAAATGAATTAGACTACTTTTTATCCTGCGTTGCATATTTTTTATGAAAGTAAGAGAATCGTGCAACAAGAGGGGAAAATATAATGCTTATAAGAAAATGGGCGTGAATAACCTGACCTTTAGGTCATTATTAAAGTTGCTCAAGATGAATAAACCAATTACTGCGGCAATTATCACTTTTTTGTGTTATGTCAATAAAATTATCGATTTTTCAAGTCATCTAATCCAGTTTAAGCTCATAGCGTGCATGGAAATTAAATCAAAATTAATTTTAAAATCATGAGTATTTCAAATTTCCATAGTGTGGATATTAAGGGAAGTCTAGACCTTCTTTCAATGAAATTCAGCTGTGAAAATGTTGTGTATTATAGTTGTTAGGTCAAATTTATGTAAAAACTTTTGCTTACCATGTAGTAATAGTTTAGAAAGAAAAGTACAATTTATTTACGATTTATAACATAGCTAGTGTGAATATAGCAAATTAATTAAATTTGAAATGAAATTTGTGTAACTTACTATGAATATTTGTGTAAATAAATGCAATAAGATACTCCAGTTTCGGATTCTCTGTTGTAAAGAGTTAGCCCAGACAATTTGTATCGAATTATCTTGAATATGTTTCAGTCAAGGTAGAGTACAAACACTAAAAGTGTGCAACACTTTGCACTATTTAGTGGTAAATAGTGCTAATTAAACAATAGAAAACAATACGATTAGCATAATTCATCAGTATTTAGTGGTATTTATGTTACACACTTATAGTGTTTGTACTCTACCCCCTTGCTCACAAATGTCTTTTGTCATAAAACTCAGGGATCCCACTCTAAAAAACCAAATCAAGATTGAAATACAACAAATGCATGAAAAAAATTACAGACTCAAACCTTTACTTTAAAAACCTGCACTGCATCATCACTCTCCAATCCTCAATTAATCAATATTTAATATGTTAAATTCCTTTGCTGAGTTTTGGTTACCAACGTCGATGAACAGTGGCCCTTAAGGATCCTAATCTAATAACTAATTTTTTTTAAAACTTCATAACAAAATTGAAGTCATTATATTATCACAATTTTTTTTTACAGAAAATTCTTTTACAAAGCTCAATATATTTCTAAATTATATTTTGATATTGGCTTTAAAAGCTCTTTGCGTATGAATTCTTTTTCAGCAATATTATAATTCTATTTTCACCCTACTTGATAAGAAAGCTCCAGATTTATGTGCTTACCAGGGCACACAACTTAGTTCACATGGCTTTGCTCACTTTGGGTTAGCCAAGCGACCTATGAATAGAATCGCACCACTTTCATTGTGGCGAATGAGAAATAGGAAAGGATGGTTGGCAAAAAATATGGGATTCATCGGCATACACATTAAAGCAACTCTGACAGCAGTTGCAGCAGCAGCCTCTGTTCCCTCTTCGTTCACATCTACAAAAGCTTTGTGTACAACCTCAGAAACATACAGCTGTCCATCTTTATTTATCCCAGTCAGGTCTGCCTTGGCTGCATTGAATAGGTCACTTGCTCCCATCTTACTCAACACCTCCTTCAGGGAAAACTTTTCACTCAGTTTGAACTTAGGTAAGGTGACTTCAACTTCTTCCTTGGGAGCCATCTTCAGATGACCAATGGCTTCATCCAGTTTGCTATAGTTGAGAGAGTCTTCTAGCTTGCTCAGACCATCAACTTCATCAGGGAGAAGAATGATCATGGATATCTTCTCATCTGAATAAGGCAGCTCTAACATCTTGCACTTAAGGCCCTCGTTCTCGAAGTATTTAAACTTATCGGACTTATACATCATGGGAACTTGAACCGTTTTGGATGGAGTCAGCTGGAATGGACCTGTTTGGGTATTATTTGAATCAAACTTTGACATCCAAGATCCCTTGAAGTAAATAGCATTGACAAGTGTGAGACGTGTGTCTGGACCAAACATCCCTTCAGGAATCAGATCCTTTATTTTATTTTTCGTCTTTTGTTCTACCCATTGGTTCACTTCTTGTCTTGCTCCTTCGCTGTTCTTCTGATAATCAACCAAAGCCGCCTCCGCGTTGAAGAACTTTTCACTATCTTCTTGAAACTGCTTGGAAACTTCGAAGCCCATCTGAACAAACAATCGGTTCGCCATTGCTATTTCGTTGCCTTTCGCGTTGCTCTGGTTTAACTTTTGAAGAAACTTCTGAAATTCTGCATTCAGTTGTTTTTCCGGGATCTCATCGAGGTGGAATGAGCTGCTCATTTGCTTGGCTGTGTTTCCACGAGCTCCAAGGTGTGTCATGGCCAGTGCAACCAAAATACTCGAAGGAGAATAAAACAGATTCTGTTCTGCATCAAAAGTTGCTTGTCCTCGAAGAACTTGATGCAAGTGCAACGAAAACTTGTTGGTAGAAGCCTTGATGAGGTCAGCTTGTGCCATTGTGGATAGTAATACGGAACAAAACACTAAAGACACAGCTAGGATCAATACAGAATGCAATCTGAAAGTATTACATGTAATGATATTATTACCCATGATCTCTTCTGTTTTATATTAATCATCGCTCGACTCAAGCCCTTTGTAGCATGCTACCAAAGGAAGCCCAATATTGTCATTTTATATAATTTTACACGAAGTATCTCTTATAAAAGCGTAAAGTATCAGGGACCAGCATGACGATCATTTTAACTTGACGGTTAGTCTACGGACATGAAGCGTATATAGTGTTTTTTCTCTTTGATTAACATCCCTAGTTAATGCAATTAAAGAAAGCCATAATACTAAGTGAAATGATATGTTAGCTTTAGATACAGCGCCCACAAGCCTGTCATATTATTTTAATCACGTGACTATCGTGTCATGCAATACATTCTACCGCGTAAAAGTCAAAGACCATATGCGGAGTTGATGAAAGAGGTGAGGAGGTAAAGGAGTCTGATCTCCTTTACCTTTGTAGAGCCGAATTCATAATAACCTTCTGAAATATCCAGCCATGAAATCTCGTGATTTTGATTTGCACGTTTTATTTGCTGTTTCCGCTCTAGCATTAGTTCTATAGAAAAACGATCTCCTAAAGGACTTTCAGTTTGCAGAATGTTCCAGGGTGATAACGTCCAGTCACTTCAGAACAGTTTCTTTTGCAGAGTATCACTATCACAGTGCTTCGGACAGACATGTCCCATAAAAGAGAAGAACAGGACAAGGATAAACAAAGCTAGTATAGTCAATGATTTGAGCGAGAAAACCTTGCACAGTAGATACAGCATGATGAGATAGAACATTGTCTTGTACGATGCGAGAAAACGTAAACTTATCCGAGGATCCCGAACCGCGTGACAGGTCTGGGCATTTGATACCGGTGAAGTGCCTGGGCCGTTATGTGAGGGGGTCTTGAGACATGGGGACAGTGTACATGCTATGGTGCTCAGGTATCCTGTATTATTGTACGTTTGATGGAGGTGGTCACCAATCTAATAAATAGGAAAAGTAGAGATTGTAGGACCGATAGGGTTAAGGTAAAGAGAGGAAAAAAGATTGATGGATGAATATAAGGAACAAAGGAAGGAATAAAAAAGATTATGAAGAGAGGGAAGTCGGGTAGGAAGGTGGGTAGATAGATGGGTAGGTAGGTAAGGTATGTATGTAGGCAGGTAGGTGGGTAGGTAGGTTGATAGGTAGGTAGGTGGATAGGTAGGTAGTTGGGTAGGTAGGTGGATAGGTAGGTAGTTGGGTAGGTAGATGAGCAAATAAGGTTGGGTATATGGGTAGATTGGTCGGTTGATAGAAAGGAAGTACGAAAAGAAGTTTGCAATACCACAGGAACACAATGAATATCCTGTAGTTGTCATGCCATCAAATACGAGGAATATTCCATTGGACATTTTACCTTGGAGTTGAGATAGGTAGAAAATCGATAAAGAAGTCTGACAAGAGTTGGATTTTCGTAGCTCCTTATTGGCTGTAGCTCAGGGTCGCCAGTGTATTGTACTTCAAATCGACGCAAACCATTTATCATCTGTTGGGAAAAGGCAGAACCTTGTTGAGATAATACAGGAAAAAAGAGCAAGAAAGCAAACAAACGTGTTGAAAGAAAGAATGAATGAATGAAAGAATAAATAAATGAAAGAACGAACGAACGAACGAGCGGATGAATGAGTGAGCATGAAAGTGAGCATGAGATGAATCTTATCACAAGCGAACGAAAGAATGAACGAATGATAGGAAGGGGAAAGAAAGGATGGAGCAAGGAAAGGAGGGAGGGAGGGAGGGAGGAAGAGAAGGAAAGGAGAAGGACAGAGGTAGGGAGAAGTAGAAGTCGAAAAGAGAAAATAGCAGACGGAGGCCCGAAAGAGACATAACATACCTGGAATCTTCCTCTGTGCGTAACAATCAACTGCCCTCGCTCATTTTGAATACACTCTGGTATAGATCCCTGAGAGCTAGTACTTGATGATAAACTAGGAAGAGTCCTGTCTCTCGCTCCACTGGGGGTGGCCCGCGGGATTGTTTGATCACCTGAATCGGTCACGTCACTACTGACCTGCAAAGAACAATAGTGTCAAACTTGTAATATCACTGCCTTAGTCATGCAATCGCGATGTCACGCAATCGCGACGTCACGCAATCAAAGCAATGTCCTAATAGACCTTTTCGATTTGTGCATAACGTTCTCCAAAATGCCTTGGGATCTTCTCAAGTGTCATGGGTAAAGATGCTTGCATTGGTCAGCATTAGTGTGGTAAAAGAAGTCACGCAACCGTGACCTACTTGGAATTTCCAGCAAGTTGGGGAGAGGGTAGACTTGCCCCAAGTCGACCTCTCTTGTATGCCGAGCAGTTCTTTAATAAGCGAAGCGAGTATTTGGCGAGTGACGAGATATACAAAGGGCGGTGGAAGTCTAAGGAGAGGGGTGCCGATCACAACGGAGGCATTTTTTCACAAGGTATAAATATATGTACTGATTTCTAACCATGTCTTAATACCTTAACAATACTGGCGAGGCTCTCATATGACTGTTCGAGGTATAACGCGACCTTATCCGTGTCCCGCTTCGAGCTGTAATCTTCGTCAAAAAACTCTCCTGATAACAGGCTCTTGAACCACGCCATAGGGCCTTGGGCTGCCTGTGTGGTCTGTCCAGCCATGCCCGGATGCTTGTTACGAATATTGGCCAACGCACTGGAGATGTTGAAACGAAGACGTTCGAGCTGATAGGGGAAAAAATAATTGTTAGCTGCGCGCAAAAACGTTCATTAATATACCCAGTTGTTGATCAATACGCTAGTTATGGTTGACCAATACGCTGGTAATGGCATGGATTGTGGGGCAAACACGTGCCCACCCCATTTGGTAACCCAACAATTTCAATGATCACAAGACAATAGAAATCACCACGTGTTGTCTCCGTGCCGTTCTGGTAATCAACAGTGGCTTCGTTAGTGCTCTCACCTCTGCCGGGGGTCTCAGGTTCAATTCATGGAACCGGTATTGCATGTAAGAAATAATTGGATTTTTCCCTTGTTTCTCCGAATTCTCCGTTTTTCCTTCCTCTGCCAAACCTAACACGCTAAATTTCGATCTGTGAGTTAGCCATGCCCTGACTTTGATCAGAACAGAGGTTGTTTCAGGGTTCGATAAAATAGAAGGATGTTCATGCATTTCGCCCCATGTAGAGGTGGAATTTCGCGCACTGTGATTGGCGTAGGTCGGGAATTCCGTATCCTGACCGAGCCTTGTAGCGTCATTTTTCAGGAAGTCTGGTAGTGGTAGAAGATGACTACATAATGCAAATGTTCAGGGTAATTTTCAATTTCTAAGAACAAGGTGAAAGATTACCTTTTCACTTCCGGGTTCCTGAAAGATTGGCACATAGGAGAAGGAAGGTCCTTCCAAGTCCATCATGTTAGATCTCAAGGAGGACCCTAATGACACACCCATACTAGAAGGGGACCCTCTCAGAGGTCCTTTAGCATTCACAGATGGTTGCACAAGTAGCTTTTCAACTAAAGAAACAGAAATGGAATGGTTGAATGATTGAGATAAATATGATACATGTACACAATCATATAAGGAGAGACACCCCTTTGAAATGTATTGGGATACATAAGAAGTAGCAGAGTAGTCACACTTCATAGTCTATGTCATATACATACATGCAAAACTTATTTCATGTGGGTAGACAAATTCAGTTCAAAATATTAATTAATTGGTTTACGATTTGGCCCAAAACAAAAAAGTTAAATTAATCATTACAAGATTTTCAAACTACATAATATATAGATATGAAATTGAAACCACAAATAATCAAAGGCAAATATGGGAATAACGGGAAACAGCAATACAGGTATATACATAAGAGATTAAATTTATAATTACTATATCATCAAACTACATAATACCATTGCAAGAGAACCTCAGTTAACCAGACCATTTCCTGGACAAGCTGATTCGTTCCAGATAACAGCATGGCCTAAACAACAGGTTGTGTCATTGTGGAAGTGGGGCAAGGCACCAATAACACGATCTCTTCTGCATTCTTTATTGGTTGCCTACCAGCGTCTATATTAGTTTGGCTGAGAGCGACTGAAAGGAACAACTTCCACAGCAAGCCCAGAAGGGGATACATTGTCTTCCTAAGTTTCATTGTTGTCTGTATTCTACTAGCTATCCATAAATGTCATTTTTTACATACCTTCCTGAATGACATCTGCAAGTCCCTCTTGAGCAAAAACCTTCAATGGTACAAGAAAACACACATGTCAACATAGCAGTTGTTAAAATAACAGTTGGTTAATGAAAACGCCCAGCCAGAATTGGAACTTGTCCAGTCACATTTTTGCTTTGCCAGTCATTTTGACCAGTAACATTGAGCAAGAAACAAGCTATGTCTGCTCATTCACTATTAAATATGTTCATTATTAACATCATCATCATGACTGGTGACTGAGCAGCAGTTATTTGGAGTGGTGGGGGAGGGGGGGGAGAGATCTGGAAGAAAAGAGAGACCAAGAAGGAAGGGATATGCATGAAGGGACTCTGAAAAGAGGGAGGCTTTAGCTTCTCAAGTTTTGGTAATATTTAAGGCATTGGATTGTTGTGCTACCTTGGTAACCCTAACCAGAATGAAAACATCTTTGTGAGAATAAAGATCCAGTTTTAACCCTCGCAGGACAAACTCCTGTAAAACCTCAGTATAAAATAGGAAGTTTTCTTGTACAAAAGAAGTCCTGCAGTTAGAAAAAAGATTGAAACAAACTTTAACGCTTTCTGTTCCACACTTAGGTTTAATTTATGTAGTTTATCAATCTAAATTGATTGGCATATGCACCCATATTTGCCATACTTCTTTGACAGGTTCAATTGACCATTTAGGAAAGCAAAGGTGGTGTAGTGGTGAGTGTAATATTGCCTCTCACCAAGGTGACCTGGGTTCGATTGCTTGTTGGTTCTCTCCTGTGCTTCGAAGGTTTTTCTCTGGTTTTTCCTCCCTCTGCAAAAATCAACTTCTAAACTCTAATTTGATCTATTGGTAGCCTTTTTCAAGTGGGTTGCAAAACCTGTGAGGCTTTCCATCCACCATGTTATTCTATTGGTCACTAAATAACTCACCATTCTTGGCTAAATACATTAGTAGAATCAGTCTTGAGTGCCTGAGGATTCTTGGCATATCGCCAGGGCTGAATAAAACTTAGCCATGTCTCTACAATCTAAAAAAAAGTATAGAAATAAATACAAAAATAAATAAATAAATAAAGATAAGTCATTTCTGTCAAAATCTTGTAAAATCTTCAAATATAATAGCCTTTTCACAGTTCCCTGCGTTATCTTGAAAGTTAACCCTGCCTGTGCATTGATGTGAGAACAGTGGTGACCTTTACTTGCAATGATAGAAATGACAATAAAAATAGTCTTATTTGTTAGAAAAATTTATAGTATGAAAGATGTTGGTTAGAAGAAGAATGTATGATGGTTGATTTAACTTACCACTCGAAAGGATGGATCTAGAGGCCAGTGAGCAAAACCGTGTCTAATGAAGCAATACAGCTTCTTCTGTAACATCTGTTGAATGACATTCCTTCAAAGAAATAGAAAACATTTTACTTCAAATTCAAAACCTTCAAATTCTATTGGCTGATCAAAGTCAGGGTATGGCTAATTAACAGATTTATTGAATTAGAATGTAGCTTGCTGGGTTTTGCAGAGGGAGGAAAACCATGGACTGGAAAAAAACTTGAGCCAAGGAAGTGAACCAACAAACACTACTCACACATGATGCTAAGACTGGGAATCAAACATGAGAGGTGGGTAAACTACTG